GGGCTGTGTCGTGGAGCGTGGGTGCAGAGCGTGTGGAAGGCGGGCTGTGTCGTGGAGCGTGGGTGCAGAGCATGTGGAAGGCCGTGTCGTGGAGTGTGGGTGCAGAGCGTGTGGAAGGCCGTGTCGTGGAGTGTGCATGCAGAGCGTGTGGAAGGCCATGTCGTTGAGTGTGGGTGCAGAGCGTGTGGAAGGCTGTGTCATGGAGTGTGGGTGCAGAGCGTGTGGAAGGCCGTGTCGTGGAGCGTGGGTGCAGAGCGTGTGGAAGGCCGTGTCGTGGAGTGTGGGTGCAGAGCGTGTGGAAGGCGGGCTGTGTTGTGGAGCGTGGGTGCAGAGTGTGTGGAAGGCGGGCTGTGTTGTGGAGCGTGGGTGCAGAGCGTGTGGAAGGCCATGTTGAGGAGGACCTGTAGGATCCCTGGTGGTCGTGGGAACAGTGCTGAGTCTTCTTGGCTGCTCTCCTCATGGTTGGTCTCGTTGTAGGGGTTTTTCTGCCAGACCGAGGAGGACTTCAGCGACTGGTGCCAGCAAGTCAAGAAGGTCTGTACCTGCCCCGTCCAGAACCAAGCTGGGGCCCCTGGGGACACAGGTGGGGTCGGCAGGGCAGCGGCCTACCCTGGGCATGAAGCCCTGGCTCGCCACCCTCCCCCTGCCCCACAGCCGGGCGGGGGCGGCACGCACCTCCCCGGGACGTGGCTTCTAGCCCACTCAGCTCCCTCAGGGTTGTAGGGGACGAGCTGCCCGAAGCTGCCCTTCCCCCTCCGCTCAGGCCAGGCGTGTGTGGTGACACCAGGTGTGCACGTCAGTCACTGTTGTGTTAATGGAACGGGTAACAGTCAGACCTGTGCCGCGGCCAGCTCCCACACCCCGGGGACGTGCAGCACTGCGGCTGTGTCTCCTAACTGCCTCTCACCGACAGCTGTCACTGCTCGGAGGTGCCCTGCCCATGTTTGAGCTGGTGGAGCAGCAGCCTTCCCACCTGGCCTGTCCAGACGTCCTCAACCTGTCCCTCGGTGAGTGCGAGGCTGCAGGCAGTCCGGGTGGGATCTCTGTGCATCTCGTACCCCAGATGTTGACCGGCTTGTCGTTGGTCCTGGAGGGCTGTGTGGTCCTCAGGGGCAGGCTGGTGGGGCCATCTGTGTCACAGCGTGGCGTGTCTGCTAGCTTTGAGCCACCCACTCCTTTCCCCGCCCATCCGAGGCCACCTGCCCAGCCAGGGTGCTCAGGCTCGGTGGTGATGCCGTCTCCTACCGGAGCCGATAGCCAGGGCGGTCCCGACCCCTGGGACTGGCCAGGGCACAGACCGAGACAGAGCGCCATGGCTGGCCTCAGGCCGATTGTGTATGGCAAGGTTAGTCCTCAGCCAGGACATCTGTGTGTGTGTGTGTGTGTGTGTGCATGTATGCGTGTGTGCGCGCACGCCTCTTGTCCTGCAGGTGTGAGGTGTCACCTGGGTCTGGGCACACCTTCTGTGTGTATGTGTGCGCGCACATGTGTGTGTGCACATGTGTGTGTGTGTGTGTGTGTGCATGTGTGGGGGGATCCTGTGCTGCAGGTATGAGGTATCACTGGGTCTGGGCACACCGTGTGTGTGTGTGTGCGTGCGCATGCGCGTGCATGTGTGTGTGTGTGTGTGTGGCTCCTGTCCTGCAGGTGTGAGGGTCTGGGCACACCCTGTGTGTGTGTGGGGGGCTCCCGTCCTGCAGGTGTGAGGGTCTGGGCACACCCTGTGCATGCGTGTGTGGGGGGGCTCCCGTCCTGCAGGTGTGAGGGTCTGGGCACACCCTGAGTGTGTGTGTGTGTGTGGCTCCTGTCCTGCAGGTGTGAGGGTCTGGGCACACCCTGTGTGTGTGGGGGGGGCTCCCGTCCTGCAGGTGTGAGGGTCTGGGCACACCCTGTGCATGCGTGTGGGGGGGGGCTTCCGTCCTGCAGGTGTGAGGGTCTGGGCACACCCTGAGTGTGTGTGTGTGGGGGGCTCCTGTCCTGCAGGTGTGAGGGTCTGGGCACACCCTGTGTGTGTGTGGGGGGGCTCCTGTCCTGCAGGTGTGAGGGTCTGGGCACACCCTGTGCATGCGTGTGGGGGGGGGCTCCCGTCCTGCAGGTGTGAGGGTCTGGGCACACCCTGTGCATGCGTGTGTGGGGGGGCTCCCGTCCTGCAGGTGTGAGGGTCTGGGCACACCCTGTTTGTGTGTGGGGGGCTCCCGTCCTGCAGGTGTGAGGGTCTGGGCACAGCCTGTGCATGCGTGTGGGGGGGGGCTCCCGTCCTGCAGGTGTGAGGGTCTGGGCACACCCTGAGTGTGTGTGTGGGGGGGCTCCCGTCCTGCAGGTGTGAGGGTCTGGGCACACCCTGTGCATGCGTGTGGGGGGGGGCTCCCGTCCTGCAGGTGTGAGGGTCTGGGCACAGCCTGCACACACCCTGCCCCCCCCAGGAGCCAGTGCCCTCGGAGGCCGGGAGGGCTGCGGCGCCAGAAAGGCCTGTTGGGCTTCTCCCCCTCTTCCCGCATCTTCCTGTCCTGTTCACCCAAGCAGTCCTGGAGCACTCTGATGAGATTTCATCCTGTTCCTTCCAGATTCTTCTGATGTAGAACGACTGGAAAGATTCTTTGACTCAGAGGATGAAGACTTTGAGATCTTGTCGCTCTGAAAACCCTGGTTTGGGATGGCCTCCGTGGCCCTCGCTGGGACATTTTGAGAATCCGGCCCTGCTTTGGGTGCTAGGTGCCACCGCATTCCATCCATCCAGCCCACCCTGCCAAGTGCTGCGTGCCTGGGCTGCTCTGTCCAGAGGGTGCCACTCCGCCCGGGGATGGGGACTGCGCTGTCCCGAGCCTTACTGCTTGGAGTCGCGCTTCTCAGCCCAGAACACACGCCGGGGCTCTCCCTCACATGACGCCGCTATAGAAGCCCAGTGCAGCAGGTCCGGGCCTCCAGAGTTCTCCACTTGACACTGCCAGCCGCGTGTCAGTGCATGGGCTTTGGTCCTGCTTTTTCCTAGTGCCAGTGTCTGGTTTGTATGGAATTAAAGCCCTGTTTGAAGTTGCTCAACACAGACACGAATTTCTGGGGCACTTCCCAGGCCAGAGTCTCAAGACGTACAGGTTGGCACGTACGGAGCAATGGCCACTGTGGCCTCTGCTGTCCTTGCTGGGCAGGGCAAGCTTCTGGCCTGGCTTCTGCCCGGTGTGGTTTACCAAGGGCTACCTCAAAGGGAGAGCGAGGGGGAAAGAATTACAGCATGACTTCTGCCTGCTTTAGGGAGAAAAGTACTCGAGGCGCACGTGGAGATCCAAAGACGAGGCCAGCAAGTGTGGAGGCCTGAGCCACTGGGCACCTTCCGGGGATCCCTCCAGGGGCCGCTGCACTGAGCTGCACCGCCGCTGCTGTTTGCTTGTCACCCAGCTTCCCCTCGGGGAGGGCAGAGCTGCTCTGCCTGTGACACTCATGGTGGGGGCGCGTGCTGCCACCTTAGCCTTCCTCTACACTCTGGCCCTTCTCAGAACTTCTCTCCTGGGTCACTGCAGTTTTAGATGGTGGGGGGGCAGCGGGGCTCCTGGTGTTGGCAGGAGGGCTTGCAGGCCCCTGTGACCCGGCTTCCCAGACGCTCGGGTCCCCCTCTCTATCCAGGGGGCGTGAACAGGAGGCCGCCGGGAGGGGCTGGGAGAGGCACTGTCTGGAGACCCTCTCTTCATTCTGCAGACAGGCTGGGCAGGAACTGCCCCCGCTAGCCCTAGGTGCCCACCAAGTTAGCAGGGGCCACTCTGTCTGCATAATTTATTTCGCCATTCCTCCCTCTCTCCCACAGCTACAGGTGGGTTGGGGTAACAGGTAAGGCTGGCCCATGCCCACCCCTGTAGGGTCCTGCTTCCCAGGTCCAGTGGCCACGGTGCTGCTGTGGCATGGGGTCTCGCTGCAGACGCTGCTGCGGCGCCAGGAGTGGTCTGGTGGACTGCTACCCCCAGAGGTAGCAGAGGAAATGCTTCCTGGAGAGGTTGTTCATTCTCAGTAGTATAGTTTGCGATTCCTAATGCAAATAATAAGTTTCAGTAGAAAACAGTTTGTGTCTATTGATTTTTTTCCCGCTGGTTAGTTTTTAAGTGTGAATGTCTAGCTCATCCCGTCACAGATGGGACACCCGTGCGATAGCCAGGGGAGCCGGCCTGCTTCTGTCCTGCCGCAAGTGTGTCCTCACCTAGGCCCGGGAGCAGGCACCTGCCCTGTGACAGGAGACACGAGGAAGGGCTGTGCGTCTCGGAGGGTCCCGCGGGGTGCGCTGGGGCTGGTCTGGTTTGGGGACGGCAGGGGGCGGGGGGGAGCACAGGCCTCCCGTCTCGCTTGCTGCCTCCACACGTTCTCGTGGTCCTGGAGGCCACCGTCATCCCTCCACCCTTAGGACTGCAGATCTGACCCTGTTCCCCAGCCTGGTGCTGATGGCTCACACCTGTAATCCTAGTGGCTCTGGATCCCACTTCAAAGCCAGCCTAGGAAGGAAAGTCTGTGAGGCTCTTATCTCCAATTAACCACCAAGAAGCCAGAGGTAGAGCTGTGATTCAAGTGTGCTAGCGTTGAGCAAAACAAATGCTCAGGAATAGCACCCAGGCCCCAAGTTCGAGTCCCAGGACCAGCACCAAAGAGTCCCCACATGAGGGGCTGGAGGCCCCTCGCCACGCTCACGGCGGCCCCTGCACAACACTCTGGTGGTGCCGGCCTGCCCGTCACTTCAGCCCTGCTTCCCCTCATGCTGTCCCCAGGAGATGCTCTGAAAGGTTAAGAAGTGAAGGCAATTTAACGTCGTTGGGTTCAGAAAAGCTGCAAGTGCTCAAGCTCATGAGGGCAGATTCCACTCAAAGCCACACCGTCCACACACACATTTTCAGTTCTGTTTTTATTAGTAGGAAACAAGAAGTCCAACTGATAATTTCCAATGATGTAGATCTCAGTGAAATGGCTCAGCCACTGACGTTCAGTGAGAAAACACGTCAGCTGCAGGTTGGAGGCGTGGAAGAGGGCTTTCCCTGGCATGCATGCCAGCTAGGCCTGGATGCACTCCAGCGGCAGGTCGCCAGAGGGGGCTCAAAGGTCTCTGAAGCAGTGAAATCTGAAGAGTGTCTTCTCGCCTTGGGAGGGACTGCAGGACGTGGACCTGGCGCTGGAGCCTGCTTATTTCCACAGCTCCCCAAGTGGCCTCTGCACGGCTCTGAGGATGGCATCCTCAGAGAGCGCGCAGATTTCCTGATGGATGTCCTCGATGCTTTTGGAAGCGTCGACCACCTGTTCAGCAGAGGGTGCAGGAAAAGAGACCCTCTGGCCACCTTCCTCTGCCAGGGTGGCGAGGGCCCTGAACCCCGTCACAGGAGTGCGGTCTGCACCGCTGCCACCACCGACACAGAAGGAAGACCAGGTGCGGCTGCCCGCCGAGCCCCGAGCCAGCCATGACTGCCCCTCAGCTGACAAGTGAGAAAAAGGTGCCGGCTTCCTCAGGGCGGCTGCCCCCGTCCCCGAACCCTGCCTCCAGAAGGGAGCTATACTGTGGGACCTGGCTCAGGAGTTGAAGGCTGTCCTAACTCAGCTGCGCTGCCTGTGCCTTGTGGAGAATCAGAACAGGTAGAAACCTCAATACCAGAAGAAAGCCAGGTGAGGAAATCAGAGGTACATGCCAGTGCTGGGGCCTGAACTCTGGGCCTGGGCGCTGTCCCTCAGCTCTTCAGCTCAAGGCGAGCACTCCCACTTGAGCCACAGCGCCACTTCCGGCTCTTTCTGCTTATGTAGTGCTGAGGAGTCGAACCCAGGGCCTCATGCATGTGAGGCGAGCGCTCTACCACTGAGCTGCCTTCCCAGCCCGCCAGTGCTTAGATATCTCTTCTGCTGTGCATCTGGGGCGGCCCTCAGCTCTGTGGGGCTAAGACCCTTTCCAGCACATTTTGGAAAATCTCTCAGGGCTAAGGCGCATGGAGTCTAAGCATCACTTAGGGCTGTGACCCTATGTGAAGGAAAATACTTCCTCATGTGTACCAACGCCAGCCTTGCTTAGACCCTCCAGGATGGCATCTGGGCCTGCTCACCGCTCGAGAAAATGAGCATTTCAAGGGGAAGGGCACGGTCAACTGATTTTGTTTTTCTTGTGTTGGTCCTGGGCTTGAACTCAGGGTCTAGGCACTACCCCTGAGCTTTCTTTGCTCAAGCCTGGCATTCTACCACTTCAGCAGTTCAGCTGTACTTCCAGCCTTTTGATAGTTCATAGATGTTTCTGCTTAGGCTGGCTATGAGCTGTGATTTCAACCTTTTTAGAACAGTTAGGATTACAGGTGTGCGCAACCAGCGCCTAGCCTGTTATCTGTTCTAGAACATAAGCTGCAAAGCTTATGAGCAAAGATACTACAGTCACAGAGTGTCTACAACGAGTGTGGGCAGTGGGGCCCCGGGCTGAGGCTCTGCGGGAGCTCACGAGACGGTCTGCTGTGGGCAGCCAGTATGCAGGGAAGAGCTGGGGTCGCGGAGAGAACAAGGCATGCAAGGGCAGCGCCCACGTCCCTGGGGAGAAGGGAGGGTGAGGCGGATCTGTCAAAGAACCACCTAGAAGCAGCAGCACCGAAGGGAGGCCCCGTACGGGCACTGGTGAGCTCCAGGCTACGGTCACCCCAGCCTGTGGGGCGCCACGTACAGGGTGGGATAGAGTCCAGCCGTGACTGTGCAGCAGCCCTGGACGGCACTGACCGGGGGCCAGCAGGAACAGTGTGTTCTGTAGACTGAAAGGGCAGTAAGACAAGTCTGAGAACTGACCCCTTCTGACAGCATGACCTGAAAATGGGAACAATACCTAAGCACTTCTGCGATAAGGATGGAAGGCGAAGAGTGTGTGCAGTGGCTTGTAGGACTACACACTCCAAATGATGGCGCCTGTGGCTAAAGCCTTGCAGAGGACGAGATGGAGTAGGCTGGGCTGCTGACTATGGAGAGACGCATGCAAGGGACTGCTCCTCCAACTCTGGCCACAGACAAGGCACCAAGTCTCGATACTTTGAAGAACCACGGGGAATTGCAATTTGCCATCATGGGGCGGGGGTGCCTTCATCCCTCCCCCGCGGCTGGGAAATGCACACTGGAAAACTAGCCTCCACCCATCTGTACAGGTAGACTGACCTTCCAGTTCAAGGTCGTGTCTCTCATGAGCTGCTGGAAACACCGCAGCGCCCGCTCCTGGGCAGCCCCGTTCTCGTACCGTTCGCGGCCAAACTCCCCCCTGGTTGCAGCCTCCCCCAGTTGTAACTGAAGGAACAGGATCAGGTCAGGTTTGGGAAGGCCCACATCCGGCTGCTTGCACCAATCCAAGGAAAAGTTCTGCCAACAAAGAACCCAACAGCAGGCAAAAACAAGCTGAGTGAGGTCTAATCTAAAAGTCGGGGCTGGGAAGGTGGCTCAGTGGTAGAGCGCTTGCCTTGCATGCATGAGGCCCTGGGTTCGATTCCTTAGCAGCACATATGCAAAAAGAAAAAAGCCAGAAGTGGCGCTGTGGCTCAAGTGGTAGAGTGCTAGCCTTGAGCTGAAGAGCTGAGGGACAGCGCCCAAGCCCAGAGTTCAGGCCCCACGACCGGATCAAAAAAAA